AATGAGAAAAAATGGTGGATCGACGGAAATTACAAATTTATTGACGAAAAAAGGTAAGACCATAAAACTGTTATTTCTACTATACTTGCTAAAATTTGTTTAAATTTCTTAGACTCCCACTGATCCTTGTGGAAGATGTAAGCTATAAAGAGTTTGAAAAAAAATGCGAACGGGCAAATGCATCAAGGTTCTGGGAATATCGGAGTGGAACTGTAATAATAATCGAGTTACCGAAACGTGATCATGAGGTTACTCATGGTGAATTTGTTAGGCAATTTTTAAATGCTTTTTCTAATTTGCAATATCAAGACCGAGTTAGATGTACCGGAGCAATTAGTGTGTAATCTTAAGTGCTTAGTTAATGAATACACATACTATTATATTGAAACCAAACTCTGCTGTATTCAGCTTGTTCTGCCACTCCGAAACATATAGCCAGAGGATCTAAACAGGCGGATGCTTCATTTGTACCAAGACTTCTCCCTATTCCATCTCAAAATTCGTGTGATTCTGAGGTAATATTTCTTTGGATTATGTATGTTATTGAAATACAAGATCAATTTGAATGTGTAATAATTTATAGGGTACTCCTTGGCCAACCGTCATTGTTGAGGTGGCAGATTCACAAAGTCTTGCAAGTATTATCCAAAAGACCACCCAATTCTGGTTGGCTCCTAATCGTTGTGAAGATGTTATTATATTAAAATTATGGAAATGGAATAGAACTTACCATAATGGAATCCCAAAGCGCCGTTTAACAGTTCGGTATTGTTTTCGTGTCATTCATTTATTTCATTTGCCTAATAATTGTCATGTGATTTTGGTAGTGCTATAAATTCTGTCGCAGAACAAGTCCTCAAAATGAAGATGGGAATTACCTACCGGTTCAAATAGTATGAATTAATGAATTTATGGTAGTTGTTTTCGTTTACAATATCACGTTATGTATCTATTTTTTTCAGATTGAATTCGGAACTATTGATGGAGAAAATCGACTATATAATCAATGCTCTGCTCCAGGAATGTGTACTTTAAGTATTTCACCACATTGTATTTACAGAGGATGTCCTCATCAAAATCCACCGCTTCCACAATACCCGTTTGAAAATGATGTTATTATCGACTTATTTCTTATACAGCAGGAAATTATTAATTAGTAGTATAATTATTACATTGAATAAGAAAGTTGGATATGATGGATGGGAAACTGTGCTTTTATTTGTTTAATTTCTTCGAATACTGTAATATCCTTTTAATATGCACATGGTTCTCACAATACACATAATCCCTATGTAAAAAAAAATCTCGCGCTAATGCGCTTTGCTTTATTAATTATAATAAAGTCTGTATACAAACCTGTACAATTCATTGCGAATTTCAGATCCCTCTATGTATTTTTACTACGTTGTGTCTTAAGATATCTTATGTAAGGCATGGCTACGTTAATCACTGGAATGTTTGTTCCATTTTATGTGAGAGATAAAAATGAAAAGATATCGGTGGAAAAGAACTAAGAGGGAGTAATAAAGCGTAAATAAAATACGCCCGTCGGACCCTAAGAATTAAAAATAACAGTTTCTTTCCCTGCATACTACTTTTAGTTATCGTCATTATTGCTATTACTATTACTACCAGAATTCCCGGAATTTTAATCCATTAATTTATTTTCTAATGAAGTGTCCCTCGAGTTCTTTGGTGCCAATAAAAATTGCCAAAGTGGCGGAACTGTGCTTGATTTTTTGGGAAATTATTGAGTGTGGCAACGCTTCTTTTCTTCTTTGATTGAACAGAGTAGTGAAATCAACACATACAGTTTCGACTTTTAGTTCAGAAATTCTATGCTTTATCGAACAGCTTGATTCCTTGCAAAAGCAAAGTTGACTAGTTATATGATGTCAATTGATATTGTTTTGTTATAGAAATTCTTATAC